AGTTTACAATGGCGAAGACATTAGCGGAATCCGCTCGAAGGCCAAGCTTCCCGATAAACCACCCTAAGAAGAGGATTTCTTCCGCGCCGAAGATGCACTTATCTACATGAGCATACAGCTTTTTCGTGTGCATGCACTCGAGTACCGCTCTCATGAGCAATTGGTAATAACCATCGACCAAGCCGAGTGGGATGTATACTTTGCACAGCCCTCCATATTGTTCTGGAGAACATCATTCGTAGGAATCGGCGTCTGTGTCAGAATGGTAGCAGTGTTTAGCTTATTGTAAGCGTGAACGATACGCCACTTGCCGTTTGGCTCCCGGACACAAAACATGGGTGTCGAATGGGGAGACTTGCTCTCATGCACATTTCCTGCGTCGTACTTCGCAAGAAAAAGCGTCAATGACGTCGCACTGCTCCTTGGGCAGGAGCCATTGGCGTGTTTATCAGTATTCGGTTCCCGGAACCAGGTACGCAAACCTCGGTCCGGAGGTAGGATCAACGGCGGGTCTTTGGAGACGACGTCTTGAAATTTCTTTACCAAAGAATCAAACGGATCCGAGGGATCCTTCAGGATCGATGACCCACTTCGTGTGTTCAGCACTCTCTTAGTGTCTTCCAGGACAGCTTCATCCAGAAGCAATGACGAGTTAATCTCGTTCGGTCTTATAATGATCACAAGGTTTAATCACCTGTCTTCAAGGCACCGCCAAACTACTGGAAGGACATCTCGTCCAGCCCAAGATGAGCATGCACCTTGGGAATAGCCTCGAGGGTGACGGCGCCGTCTTCCTTTCCGATCATACCGTTTGCAAGAGTATATAGCTGTGCGCTATCGTCTATCGTAGACATACCCTGGATCAGGGTCGAATCTGGCAAATACATCCGCTAAAACTCGCGTCATGGTCCCTACAATATGTACACAAAATATCGTGATGTAAAGTAGTTGAAAGTCATCGAGCAATACTGGGAGTATGCAAGCGCTCACGAGCCTACCTGCCGTCGGTTTTGCTCATTTGTACTGCCATTATTGCGCGGTACGAGCCAATATTGATAGCAAGAGGAGTACGACAGCAGCACTGTAATGGGGTCTTGCGTGCCATTGTATGAAGGATGTGGGTCGAACAAGATGGCGTGATCAACATCGGAGTGGCTATACTTAAACAAGAAGTCAGTACATGGCTGAATTGCCAGGATTTTAATTTTATTCTATAGAAAGGACAACATGTCGATTTATATATAGGCGGCTTTGCCGCGGGTAAAACCGATAGATACAGTTTACGTGTAAAACAAATACTTAGCCTTGAGCTAAGGTTGCAACCACTCTTGGAGAAATTTGATTGCGATCCGCTACATTCGTACTGGTTCTAAGTATAGAACGAATGTCACCGAGCTTCCTCTAAACGAAAGAGCTACGGCAGCCCCGCTGCTAGCACCATGACCTGGCATATATCCTTCCTCCTAATCGACAGCTGGGATGGCAAGTTAGCTTTTATTTAGTTAACAACATTGAAGGTGTATTATAAACACTGGCTTCCGAAGTTTCTCAAAAGAGAGAGGAACATGAGCCATTTGTTTGACATAGCTTAAAGTGTTCACCAGACCTACCATTTTATTTCCTGAGCGACCTATTCCGATTGGCTGTAGCAGACGATTTGCCTTAACACGCTTAATCTCGCAGGCTAGAGAGAGAAGAGAAAAAAGTGTATAATTTCAATCAGCTGCTCATTTACTGCTTACAAATTTGGTTGGTATTGCAGCTTACAAATCGATGCGAACATTAACTTGGTAACTGCTACGATAATTGATAAAGCATAAATCAAATTTTATCAGAAATGTAGCTTACAGTGGTGTGGCTTAGAAAAAAACGTACTCTTTGCTTATAAAGCGGCAATTCAAATGCGCTCACTTTATCAAGTCTAACTAAATCGTTATGCTGTAACAAATCTGCCTAAATGTTTTGTGTTTGATATCCTTGCCATTACAAGCAGTGATCTTTCTTGTACAAACTGACCTCAGCCCTTGCGTAGCAAAGACGATCTTGTCGCTCAAAAGTAATCATGTCATCGGACATCGAGACCGACATGAATACCGTCCTGCTGCTCAAAGTGCTAAAAAGGTATCTCTTGAAAGAAATCGTTGCAGTGTGTTTTACATAATACATTCTTAAATGAAAATCCATTATACGATTTTTCAATAATGCCTGAAAAAAACTTGGTTGTATGGTAGCATTGGTGACATCTGTATTATAATGCCGTCATATTGATCAGCGAAAATCTCGCATTGGTGGTTGGTGATCCAGCGCGGTTGTTCTTACTCGCACTTGGCATTATGATCAAGTGAAGGGTGCAATTACGGTGCATGGAGTGCATCGCTATCTGTCTTGTTGAACGTCACTATTACTTTTATATCGCTATGCATAGTCGATACATAATTTTCCAACCGAAGTCGACACCAAACTTAAAGCTGAGAACATCATCTGTCACGACATTATAGAAGAATGTTATGTCGATTCTGAGCTGTTCCAATTTGTAGCATATCAAATTTATGTAAGCAGCTAGGATTCGGTTTGAATGTGATATTGATTTGCGACACCCGAAATCTAAAGGTCTGTGCTCCGCTTTCTGCGAGCCGAAAAATACACAATTTCTATTCTATAGCTTGTCGCATCCAAAGCAGTAGATGCTGCTTTGCTTGTTCTCACATGCATCGAACTTACCGCGATCTATGTTGTTATCCATGCTTACACGACAAGAAGCGCGGAATGAGTTCCGATATGTCCCAAAGTCACAGCTTGGGTCGCTTGTGTCATGTAACATTTTGCTTCTCTACTCAATTAAGATAAGACACGAGTCAATTCACTCGCTCGGCCGTGATCATGGCTCTTGGCTCGGCAAGCTTTGAACTTTCTGAAGAAGGACCTCCTACCCTTGCCAATTTTAGAATGACTTCAATCTTCAGCGGGTTACCATCCTACGACTCTTTCAAAAGACTGATGCGATCATTTTATTATAATCGAGCTGTGAGTCTAAACTGTCTTTGTAGGACATTACGTATAAAAAGTTGAGTAATCATTCTGAGAGTCGTTAAGACCAGATTCACGAGTATTTTGTGGCTGTATTCGCACCTCAGGTACACGGCGTTGAAAAATTTCACAACAAATATTTGCGGTATTTTTGTCCAGAATTTGATTTTTCGATCTTTAGTTGTCCAGAATCTATCAGATATTTGCTTTTTTTCAGATCTGTATTTAAATCAAAGATTTTCTCCTTTTGCAGCTGTTTTTACCAGTAAGTTGAACCTGACTTATAGGTACGGATAGAATCAGATTTCAAACAGAGTGCTTTATAATTAAATAATAAACTCTTGTGATTACCTTTCTATTGGGTACATGTCCTCATAAAAGTCTGTCAATAGACGGCTCACATGCGTGCTAGGTTCAATCGACTTGTATCCCTCTCAATTTGACAAAGACGACAACGGCAGTAAATACAAAGTGCTATGACGACGGTCCTTGAGCTGTGGATACGACGAGAATTAAGGGTAGCTCGGCTCGAGACATGGGTATTTAGTAGTTGGAGAGCATTTAGGTAGTTGAAGAAAAGGGTCAAAATCTGGTATTCAAAGACGAGGGTCAAGTATTTGGTAAAGACAAGTTTCGAGCATTTGGTAATCTTGCCTCTTATAACATGGTTCTCATGATCAAAGATTTTTTTACTTGAGAATTCCTTACTATGGGCATAAATGAAGATAGAGACAGCTCAGTGTGCAAAGTACCATCTGTAGGCGATTTCTGGTCCACACTACGCGACATAATGCATTGCACAGCTGTCACAAGAACAGTGATTGAAAGCTTGCATCAAATCTATCGGGCAAACACCTGGCATCACGGGAACTGCATACGCAATGCGTGGGATTCTGAATATCAAGTGCCGGAACTATCGATGTCCAGGTTAGTGTCATGTTTATCTAAAGATGACAAAGAGATTGTTAAAATTGTAACAAGTTTTAAGAAAGTCGATGATCTCTTGATAGTGTCTGAACTTGTTCCCATTGCATGATGATCAATTTCTGAGGTTACTTTTTACAGGCGAGTCCATGGGTACACAGGCTCAAGATCTTCTTATATAAGGATTCTAATCTGCGTATCTGTGTCAGCGTGAAAGTGAGAACTCTATGACGAGCAATCTGTAATTAAGCACAGATGAATACGAAGCACTGTAACACATGCATGATCTAAAGAAACTGATGGCACAAACTTTGCGTCAATCAGCAAGCAACGGCTTCATTTCTGTACCTCCCAAGCTTTTTCTATTATCCTTTGTTTTTTACTTTACCAAATTGTATGCCTAACGTATGATTCAATTTCTGCTCCTGGCTATTAAATCACCGTGTGGCATTCCTTTCCATGCGATCTTCACACCATCCCAGGCAGAAGCCAAAGAGATGGGTGCATTACAATTTGACGCACAGTGTTGCCTACTATTCCTTAAACAGTAGGCAATTTCCAGAGTCTGGCTTAACTGCACATCAATTTGTCCAACTTGCGCGTGCTGTCGGACTTGTTAGTCCTATCTCGCTTTCCACCACAAAGTTCGTCTACCAGAGTGCAAAATTATGTTTTTATCGCTCTCGGTTCTCGATGAAAAAGCCCGGACCACTGCTCAGTCGGATAGAGACCACAGTGCTCTCAGCACACCTGGTGACCACAGCCATAAAATATCGAAGGAACGAGGTTTCGCTGTCTCCCTTATTCTATTTGAATTGGTTTGTTTGTTCTTTTTTGCGCTCAAGTTTGAAATGCCAAGTCCAGAACATAAGAAAGCTGACAAAGTCAGCACTATCAGCGAATATCCAATGTACTTGGACGTTCACCTAATGATTTTCGTTGGATTTGGCTTTCTCATGACTTTCTTACGCAGATACAGTCTAAGTGCCATATCACTCAATTTCATTATCGCTGTACTATCCCTTCAATGGGGCATTATCGTTTACACTATGGCTAACCAGATTGGCGAAGATCATTTTACAACGAAATTACTCGATATTCCTTTATTGATCAACGGTGACTTTGCAGCTGAGACCATTTTGATTAGCTTGGGAGCTGTTTTGGGTAGAACCACGCCCACTCAGTTGGTCTGGATGACGTTCCTTGAAGTTATTGTTTACGGAGGAAACGAGTACCTCTTGCTTAAGGAGCTTAAAATTACGGATGTCGGAGGTTCTGTGGTCATCCATACATTTGGAGCTTTCTTTGGACTTGCGGTATCCTTTATGTTCGGAGTTCCGAGTGCAATCGAGCAAGAGCACAACACATCTCGCTACAACTCGGATATGTTTGCCATGATTGGTACACTCCTACTCTGGGTCTACTGGCCATCTTTTAACGCCGCCTTTTCGGGGTCGGATGACTTCCAGCGTGAGCGTGCTGTAATTAGCACTGTTCTATGTTTATCAGGCTCCTGTACCGCTGCTTTTGCTGCATCCAAAATGCTAAGCCACACAAAAAAAATCGACATGGTTCATGTACAAAACGCAACGCTTGCCGGTGGAATCGCCATGGGAACTTGTTCCAACCTTGCCGTCTGCCCAGAGACTGCTATCATTATCGGCCTTGTCGTAGGCGTTGCATCAGTTGCTGGTTATCGGTATGTATCTCCTCACCTTGAGCGTGAGTTTCGGATAGCCGACACTTGTGGTGTCTTTAATCTACATGGAATGCCTGGTCTCGTCGGTGGCTTTGCTGGTGCTATGGTCACTTTTTCTGCCCCCGATGACTTTTATGGAGACAGTTTGACGGATATATACCCGGCACGCTCTTATCGTTCGGCTAGCAAGCAAGGTTGGTATCAACTCCTTGCCATCGTCACTTCAGCAAGCATTGCTACACTTTCTGGTCTGATCGTCGGCTATTTTCTCAGCTCAAAGCAATTTCACCAGCAACAACTCAAGTATGAAGACGAGGAATGGTTTAGTGTGCCCGACAAAAGCGACGCTTAGGAATTTTGTTCCTCATTTAGTTTAGCGTGTTTATTCAATGCATTTTGACATTTATCATTACTCCGTTTTCTGAATTTTTAATGTTAAAATTGGGTAATAATTGTAATACTCATTATAAACATTGGGATATGTTACTTCGCTGGTCACCTTGAATACAAGTATCTTAAATGTAAATCGATTATACAGAAAAATAGTGAAGCAAAAGCCGACAAAGAAGGCACTACTGCCATGTAGGAACTGCTAAGACAACAACTAACATGTTTGTCTATACGGCACTAAATACGTGGTGACCACAAGATGGCTTCGCAATTTTGTACCAGAAAATATACTAAAAAAAGTCGCCCTTAATTCCGTGATAACAAATTTAGCGCGAGCAAATTAACTTTAACGAAGTTGATAGAGCGAGAAGTGCGTAATTTTTATAACTTTGAGGCTTCAAAATACTCTGATAAATGCTATTCCTTGGTAATTTGATTGCCTCCAAAAATCTAATCATACGTTCTCTGAAGTGTCTAGCAGCATCAGCAGAAAATGCTGCATACTGAATACTCGCAATAAAAACATCATAATGTAAAGCAAGAGAGTAATGTGCTATAGTTGGAGAATTGTAAAATTGTGTCTCATGATTACAACATAACTATAATTTGCTAGCCTATTTTAAGGCTTTATGTAACCATAACTAAACATCACAAACCGTTGTTGTAGCTAGAAATTGTCTCCGTTGCGATTGCATCTGATGTTTCAAATCAGATTAAAGTCGACGATCCGGACGATATTAAAAACATTGGAAGGACTCTCGTGACTGTCAATGATGAGATGAGAATGCCTGGAATCATATTAATGACGAGACTAAACTTTTTCGTGAGAATGTCGCTGAAAATTTGGAGACTATCGTTGGATAAGTTGCCACGTCCTTAACTCAGAACAGCTAGAGTATCTTACTCAAGAACGCGAAAAATGGGAATACAGTCGAAGATATGATCGATAGAACGATGAACAATTGGTTGAGTTACAATTAACATCCAACGAAATTTATGGTGATATCTAAAATCTCGATTCGCTAACGTTTTACGCCTGGGTAGAATGAATAGATGTGTACCTGTTGACAAATGAAGTTGATGGATCCAAATTTATCACTTCATCATTATTATCTTTCCCTTCACGCTTTCCGTATTAATTATTGCAAATTGCCACAAAAGTATATGAAACAAGTCATTCCGAGGTTTAACGATCAGCTGCTTACCTATCTGATGTGCTACTGGTTTGACAGCTTGAAAACAACAGACGAAGTCGACACGCTGCTCAAAAGTTTTAAAAAGAGACACTTCCATGTATTTTTCATGAAAGATAGGTACAACCAGTATTACGACATCACGAGGAATCTTAAGAAACTTAGGAAATTCAGGATGAGCAACACGGCTACACCGCCTATTGCTGGAACATAGGGCAAAAATCGACATAAGGACAAGGAAAGTCGGTACAAGGTTTTCACTGCATTTGACGAATGTCCATAAGTATATCACAGCGAGTTTAGTCAAGACAGTAGGCTTGCTACCTGTTCTTATTGCTTGCTTTGATGAAGTATTGCGGCATCTGTAATTTTAGCCGCAAAAACGGCCCCACCGCCACCTAATTTGATGGAGACGCTGACAAAATAATCTCAGAGGAACAGCTTGTTCAAATCGTGATGAATGAGGAGAAAGACGCAGATGTTTGAACAATTGAAGACACTGTTATTCCTAGAGGTTTGATAGCTTAAAAAGCAATGAAGATGTCTTGAATCTGCTTCGTCGCAGTGGGTTGGACATGAGTAGTAGCGATTCCTGTTATAAGTCGTTTCAGGAATTTCGCACGAACACGGCCAAATTTATCAAAATCACTTTGTCCGAGAACGTACCAACGCCAGCAGGCAACACGATTGTCCACGACAACAACTATAAATGCTCGCTGCTCGCTGCGTACGAGACCTCTCTTGCCGATTACTATGAGAAAAATGCAGCATAGATTGCTCGCTGTCCCTAAGGCTGTTTCTGACAAGTCTGAATTTGCGCCAGTCTGCGAAGTTATCTTTGAATATTGCAGACTCAGCCACGCAACTTGAAAGTGAGCAAATCCGACTCTGATACGCTCAGGGAAATCTTTTGGACGAGATAAATGGCTCACCTGGTTCCAATCTCCAACTTCGGCCGTTTTTTGATAAGTGTATTGAAATTGCTGACGAAATTGTTAAGTATAGACCTAAGCTTAGGTATGATCTGATCGACATATTCAGAGGCGCTACGACAACACTGTTCTGACCTCAATTGTCAGAGAAGAGGTGCTCAAACACTCGCACAGTGCTTCACGTGTGGAAGACGTGTATTTTTTGTACTTATTTAGTAGGATGATAAGTCCTAACAGACTCTCGAATCTGATCAATGAAGGAAATGAAAAGAATACTAAGTCTGATATCCTTGTTGAGAATTATCGGCAGTTTGTCGACAGCATGGGTCCCCCTAATTTATCAGATGATATCAAAAATTGGTGTAAGACAAAAAAAAACTAGAAAGCACAGTTGGACATTCTTTTTGTGGCACTGTAGACACAGCTTATGAGCGTGACATATTTCTTTGAGACGGAAAGATATTTGCTGCATATAAAATCTACATTCGCGCTCACAATAAAGCGAAATCATTTGCGCAGATGAAATTGCTCCCTGCACTTACCGCTCGGTTTGGTGATCGTGATACATCGACCATGATTCTAGCAGCTAAAATGCACCCAGAGACTGCAAAAGTTGCCGAACTTCTTGAATTTTTCTCCACGACTAACATTTTGTACTCAAGATTTCTTGCACAAATTTAAAAATTGTGTTTCATTAGTACAAGATAGCTATCTAAAACCCAGCTTATTTTAAAAATATATGTGTACCACAACGTGAATAAA